GTAAGCTGCTGTTGATTGCACAAGCTGCGGGGAAGGACTGTGTTGCAACAATCTGAGCATGGGAAGGAGCTTGTTATTTCCTGTTTAACTGTACTGACATCACTGCAAAGCACTTAGTATGAGTGAGATTTCACTCATTTATCTGTATAGATTCGTAAAGCCTGTTAGAACGTGTTTTTAAGTTGGAAAATGTTTTCCTATATATAGTGCAGCTATTTCTTTATCCAAGACTTTTTGATCCAAAATAATCTTCATAATGACTCCCTAACCTGACTTTCTGATGATTTATCAATGTACTATAACAAATGTGTAGGTGCCTGTACCTCGGATCCAAAAGTAAACACGACATCACAATTAGATGTTCACCGACCAACTCTGCACTCTTCACCTTCCTGTTTCAACAGGTGCTCAGAATGGGAACACCACACAGTGGTACACTGTCTGGGGTTAGCTGTTAGCTTAGCATCAGCTAGCTTTCTCCTGAGGCTGTGCTTGCAGGCTGTACTTGGTCAGTTAGTGCACATGGGGTTTCTTGGTTGTCCTGAAGTCATGGTCTCTTGACACAGGCTTCTATGACCCACAAGCTGGGGCAGCTCTAGGCTAAGTGGAGAGCCGGGACTTAGACCAGAAGCATGTCAATGAGTCAGAATTCAAGATTTAAAACTATTAAATTCTGTACGTCTATTCCGTTCAAAATACATCAGTTTCATGCTCTGAATTTGGTGAAAAGTTGGCTCTAAAAAATAAATGGTGAACCTGCGCTCAGGAACAAGAGTCCTGGTCCATTAATATTTTAATAGGTGCAGCTGCCAACCAAGATTGCGTAAATGACTACCACTGTCGGGATGCACACTCAAAAAAAATAAAAAAACTATTTAAAGGATGATCCATCTATTAATAAGAAACAAACAAGGGTCAGACTAAAATTATTTTTCTTTTAATTATTAGAAAAGGTTTTACAGGGTATTACCAAAAGTTGGCTCTTACATTAGCCAGCGAACACAGTTAGCTGTGTGTCAGTAGGCTGATCCTCCTGATGGTGATCTCAAACTTTATACGCATTAAAACATAGTTAAATAATTTTGTACTTAGGTTAGCCAGGTTAACTATAATGGCAGCAAAGCATTTGAAAATCCTGGAGAGATCAGGGAACATAGTTGGGATGAGTGTGTGTGTGTGTGTGTGTGTGTGTGTGTGTGTGTGTGTGAGCGGGTATACCTGTCACACAATGTCCCCATAATGTGATAAATATATATTTTATGAAAATCGGTGACTGCTATGAAAAAACTAAAAATGCAAAAACTCTTGTATTTTGCTTGGTTACTTATGGATATGGTTAGGACTGGGTGGGGGTTAAGGTTGTCATAGTTAGCATTAGCATTTTTCCCATAGAAGTGAATGAGAGGGCCCCATAAGGATAGGTATACCCGACATGCGTGTGTGTGTGTGTTTATGTGCATTTGGTGAGTATTTGGTGAGTTGAACAGTAGACCTGCAGAGGTACGGAAAATGGTGGGGAGGGGGACAGGGAACTGACGGGGGTCGGGTTCAAGCATCCAAATATCTGGGCCTCAATCCTGGGCACGCCCCTGCCCACAGGCCTAGACCTGGTTGATTGATGTAGGCCGCTTCATTTCTGAAGTTTCCGTCAGGGACAGTTTGGCTGACAGGTCAGGTTGGCTGATACTGGCTATTCTCTTGATGTAGGCTGGGTTTCCTCTGTGGCTGATGGATGGATGGTTGGCTTATTGCTGCCCTCTTTCTGCCGCAGGTCCCGATAAATCAGACACACGTGGAAAGGGTGCTAGCTCAACCCATGCAGTACGGTGGAAATATTCTATACATCCACCTCTTTCGATTGCTAGTTTTCCCTCCTGTGGTGTTGCTTCTTACAGGAAACCATGGTGGTGACGCGCAACTTCCTGCGATTTTTAACCCCAGGGCTCTCAGTTACTGACAGGAGGGGCCAAGCAGAGCATGGGGGGGGGAAACTGGCATGTACCAAAAAAACACCTCAGGTGGCATCCTCTCAGCTGCTTACAGTGTCTTTCCTCAGTATTCAGAACACGGCTGAGAAGAGGGGCAGTGGTGCCAGATTCGTATTGGTATTTATTAACAAATAGTCATGCAATTACCTAGTAATACAGCAAAGCATTCATCTTCAGCCATTAAGTCATAAACAGCCATAAAGCTAAGCTATTTAATATTTCTGCTGCAAATTAAAATAGGGCATCACTGAAGATCAAAGCATCAACACTACTGTCACTTTCCTGTGGGAATATATTGGCATTTATGCCAAATGAAAACAAAAAAAGCTTTCATCTAATCCACACCTGTCCTAAGTGTTGCAGATGGCGAATACATTACACTTGCAATTCAAAGGTTTCAATTTATTTCCTGTGAGAGGCACCGATGCAACACCAGGCAGTTTCCCCAAATAGACCAGCTGTGTGAATATTCAAGCTGTATGTCAGTCAGCATTTAGGGACCTACAAAGTAGATGTACTAAAATATCACAGCATGGTGATTCTGGTGAAATTATAAATTGGTACCTATTGCAACTTAGGTGGATATGGAGTTTCATACTAAAACCTGTGTCTCTTAGGCCAGTGTTTCCCAATCTGGTACTCAGAGACCCACAGATAACAAAAACATGGACTGTCTATGGGTCCCCGAGCACCGTGTTGGGAAACACTGTCCTAGGAGATATGCTGGTTCAGTGGCTAGCAGTGTGGCATCACACCTTCAGCATTGGGGTCTCAATCTCACACCAACTGTGTGAAGTTTGTATGTTCTTCTCAAGTTGTACAGATTTCCTCCAGGTGTATATATAATCCTATTTAATCCTCTCATTAAACTGGTATCCATAGTAATTGGGTGTGTATGTATGAGTTCTGCAATTTACTGGCATCCTATCCTTGGTGTCTTGCTGCTTTGTGCCCTGTGTTGCCTGTTATAAGCTCCAGGCCACCTCCATCCAGTAATGGTAGCTGTAATATGGATGGGCACCCCTTTGCAGTCGCTAAAACACTATGCATCTCCACTTTGGCCACTTGTCAATTGTATTAGCAGTACATGACCACTAGAGAGCGAAAGTCACTTTATTGAATGAAACCAAAAACCCGAATCTGGCTTTGAATAGTAACCCATTGATGTCAACTGAAATTGTATAGCTCGGAACGACAAACGTATGTGCATGGTCTGTGTTTCAGTGCATAAACAAGATAAACATGGCTAGCAATTAATCGTTGCTTGATTTGTACTGTATGTGTCCTTAAATTTAAAAGTAAAGATGACCTTTGCAATTACATAGCTGCACGTGGGATAAACATTCCTGGAAAAGGGGACTGATAACTGTGTGATGCACAATATCGTTAAAATGAAGCTCCGCTGATTTTTTAAATTTATAGTATTTATTGATGCGCGCGTCGAAGCTGGCTTGCTCATTTTACGCATGCACGCTTAGTAATTGTGCTTTCGCTTCATTTCGAATTTCATTCACAGAATGTGTTTCCACGATTTAATGTCGATGAGCTCCTGTCTCATTTTCACTGCAGTGGATGCACACAACAATCTGATACAGCAGCAGAAATCCTACAGTCTCACAGATAAACAGTTATATGCAGGAGCTGCTTTGGGTCGTATTAAGTAGTCAGTTCTATAATTATTTATTTGCTGCGCATCTACCAAGAAACATCTGGAAATCGCCGAAAAACATTCTCATCTGGTGTCTAATCGTTACTAAAAATCAATCTTTTCCTTTCTGTAGCTACTCTTTATTCTTAAAGCCCATGACTCACATGTGCACAATCGTCACTAAGGCATAATGGGAGATAATGGAAAATGTGCTCTGCATTTTTTGCATAATAATAGATACAATAAAGCATGAATGAACACACTGACAGCCCACTGTCATCACGGATGTAGGTGTTTTAATGTAAAACCCTAGTTTTGGCTAATGAACGGAATTAGATATAATCAACAACCGTAATTGGTCATTATATATTGTTATTGTGTTGCTATGTAATTATGTTCCATACCCGGCATAAATGAATTGAATGAATGTTGCGTGCTAACTACCGGCACCCTAAACATGAATGGGATTACAAAATTAATCCCTCCAGTGTTATTGCAATCATAGGAGCCTCGTTTACTAGCAAAACCTCTGTCATTCCGGGGAACTGACAAAATAACGTGTTAAATAAGGCGCTCTGAATTCTTGGTTCTCGCTCGAAAAATAATCTATAAAGCAATATTTAGGTTTTTTGCTAAAAACAAAAACTTCTTCATTCAAACTTTTTTTCATTTTAAAATACCGATATGACAGACAGGAATATGACATTCTCGAGGAAATCCGTTCACGTCCCAGGCGCATAGACGAGGGCGTTAATATGGCCGGTCGCAGTTTATCTGTCATTGTAGCTCGCCTTTCGCCGTCGACACGGCGAGCATAACAAGCCATTTAGTTCCCATCATTTCCCTGCTTCTTGTCCCCTCCCCCTCCAGACACAGACAACGGCGCACACCTTAATAGGGGCGCGTCTCCGACACAGCCGCCGACCAATAACCCGCCTGTCTGGGCAGAGACCAGGGGGGGATGTGCGCTCGCCGGGGCCCAATCAGCGCTTTTGTGTTGCCTGCCGGTGCCGGGGACTGGTCGTGAGGAGCTTCTGCGGCGCTTCAGGATCGGAAAGTGAACCCGGAGCAAGTGAGACCTGAGGGGCCAAGACGAGTCAGGTGAGTCCGAGGATGTGGCTGCGGCCTTGCCGATATTTTCGGAGTGTATAAAAATATGATGGCGGGCTATGGTATTTTTTGACATCGGTATACTGCCGGTATAATTTGTGTGTCATTTTTAGCGCAACGAGGGGATCGAGCACGGATGGGGAAATCGTGCCGCTAATCCAGACGGTCGCCGCTCCAGCATCGCGGCTTTGTCGCTGGCAATTAGCGCGACCCTTCTGCGCGGGTAGTATACGGGCGAAAGCGTGTCCGTCCGGCCACCCGGCAGAGCCGCTCCGGTGGGCAGGAAAAACCGTTTCGGAGGGCAGCTTGTCCGAGATCGGTGTAAATGAGGAGCTCGCCCGAAGCGAAGTCCGCTTCATTGTCTCATCCCGCCTCTCCAGGGGTTAACCCAGATCGGGTGCGGGAGCCCTGCGTCTTGCAGGCTGCCGGAGTACAGTATCCGCGCAGCACTCGGGGGCAGATCCTTGAATGCCCGCCCCCCCCCTTCTTATTGTCCTCCTAAAAAAGCGATCAGAGAAATATGCAAGTAAGGTTATAGCCTGGCACATCGCGGCGATCCGATGCTGCATGAAGCGACACGTAAAGGAGTCAAAGTTAAGTGCGGTGCTACTGATGGATGTACAGTGTGTATATATTTTAAAAAACAGCATCAGCCATTTACGTAAGTGAAGACGCTCTCAACTTGTTTCATATGCACGCAAATGGCTACCCTCCTTAGCATGCGTCAGCCTGCAATTAACTGCAACCGAGGAGTGCAAATAAAGCGGACTCTGCGGCGCTCAGACATACCGTTATCCCGATCGATCGTGTGCCGTATATAACATTTCTATATTAAATAATGTATGTAAGCGCCAATAGTGCATATTCGAGGAATGGTAGACGGGCCCCACGGTACACCGGGTGCATCCCATCTGAGGACGGCTGTCCCGAAGATCGGCTGACCGCCACTGCTTTCCATTTTGACTTCACGTTTTGTTTTAAAAATAGTACTTTGATTGTTGCGAATTTTCATTACGCTTGGCAGCAACATCCACTTAAACGCGTTCTCTAATTTACAACAAAGTGACACAATAATTATACTTTCAGCGGGCTGCCTGCGTATGTTTTTGTCGGTGAAGGATGGAAATGGAAAAATATGCCTATAAGTTCCAAGAAGTATCTAAATATATTATCGGAGTTAAGTGTCACTGTGGCTGTTTTTTGTGCAGCGCAGACTCCTTGCATGTGACTCCGGGTCTGTGTGAGTTACATTTTGGCTGTATAGCCGCTCACCTTCAGTTTTACTGTCATTGTAATCGGTGGCGTGATGTGCTGGATATGGAATGTTGCAATACCTCTGGTGGATTTGGGTCATTTTCAGACTTCCTGCCCCATAGTGTTGTCTTAAATCTCTAGATGGTCCCCAGACACCTTCTCTGCCCCCACACACACACACACACACACACACACTCTTACACAATTCTGCCTTAAGCTTTGAGAAGCCATTAGTCCTCTCAGCCATCTAAAGCTGCTGCCATGAATTCATTTACTGAAATGAACTGACTTGTGTCGTCCCCTCCTCCACTCTCTCTATTTTACCTTTCTTTTGATGAAAAGTTTCTCCTTGGTGGCTCGCCCGCCCCCCCCCCCCCCCCCCCCCCCCCCCCGCCTTCCGGATGCCGTGGATAAGGAGCAGGTCTTTTGTGGTCTGCGCTTGGCTGTTGTTTCTCGCTGGCAGTGTGCAGTCAGGCAGCTACATTGGCCGTGTATGATGACTGCACAGGAATGCAGAGGGACCCGGGGGGTCGACGCTAGCATGCGACAGCATTTCATGGTGGCGTTTATTCACAGCTGATTGGTTAAAGAAGTCTTTAAAACAAATACTTATGGGTCAGTAATAAGATACCTTGGATGGGATGATAGGGTGAGGTCAGATTTACTTGCATTTAGTGTCCTTCATTGTCTTTGCATGCTCATGGGGCAGTGGTTTGGAGAGGTGGACTTGAAACCCAAATGTTACAGGTTCAAGTCCCAGGTAGAGGCCTGTTGGTCCCCCGAGGAAAGCGACTGAATGTGAACGTTCCAGCGAAATGTCCATCCGGGTCAAAGCTGGAAAACGGCCTCTTTTCGGCCGAAAAGCACCGGCGGAGAGACTAGCTACCAAGACGCTCGCTTTTTGCAGCTTGCTGGTGCAGCAGATATTACTGTGTGCACCTGCACGGGCACATGCAGCTGTGTCTGGGAGGACCCCGCCTGAAAGCCACGCCGCTCTCTGTGATGATCGCGGCCCAAAGTTATACCGAAAGTGGCTTCCACTGTTTTCTACCCTGATTGATATGGATCTGTGGACAGGAAGAAAACAGTTAAAACTCAGTTCCTGTGGCTTTTTGGCCGCTTCCGTGGATTGTTCTAGAAATACCACGCCGGTAGTGTCCTTTCATGCTGGAAGTGCTGTAGATGTGTTCATATAACAAAAATGGCTTAATCTAACTGATGGATGAGTTACCGTCCCCCTTCGTTGCATTTAATGCGGCAGGCAGGCCAGCCCTAATGCAGCGTGCTCATGGTAACTGCTCAAGCTGCTGGTCTTTGCATGTCTCAAGGACAGTCCATGTCTGATGTTCCTTGCCCTGGTTGAGATGTTCTCGAGCTGAACTTTAGGATGTAGTCACATAACCTCTTGGTTATCCCACAATCCTGTTCAGTGATGCTTGCTATTTTAAACATGGTCTGACGGGAAATGGCACATGTCTGTCACTACCAGGCTATCATGGGTGGTGTTTTCAAGATCAAATGGAATCATCAATGCAAAATTCTTTCTTTAATACGTTTATTTTGGCTGTTACTTAATTAAGAGATCAGTGTGCGCTATTTAAGGGGGAAAGTGTTTAATTAGCAATTAATCAAGTACATTACGTTTTATTTAAAAAAAAAAAAAAGCCTCCAAAAAATTCCCTTTAGGCCAAAAATAATGTTGGTGGTAATTGGCATTTGGATTTAATTGATACGTGGTCGTAATTGGCATGTTTGAAGTGGTAGCGATAAGAAAGAGATTAATCTCATTCCACAATGGCTATGAAGCTAAAGAACATTAGATTCCATTTTTCCACGGATATGAAGTGAAAGGATGTGTAATCCCCTCTGTAGTCTGATCTTTCACTGTGTGTGTGTGTGTTGTCTATACATACGATATATATAAATATAAATAAAAAATAGAATATGGTGTAGTCAGAGCGGCTGTAACGGCGATTGCTAACATTGGACACATATTTGGCAGGACGAGGTTAAGCTGTATTACTGGTAATTACTGCTGTGCTACACTGTGACAGTCCTACCTGGTACTCGGGTTTATCTCTCTTTGGGAAGGGTTTAAATTACCTTAAATGGAAACCATACTGGAATTGATTCCTAATGGAGTCTAGCTACTCGAGCCAGTCTGTGTGTAGGTTCCCAGATACCCCAATGAGCCCATTGCTGCCTGTCGTTCCTTGCTCTGTGTGTGTGTGTGTGTGTGTGTGTGTGTGTGTGTGTGTGTGTGTGTGTGTGTGTGTGTGTGTGTGTTCTCTAAACTGCACTGGGTGATTACCGAGTCCCACAATTTCAGGCCTAGTGGGTAAATTACCAGTCAGGTGAACGTGGTGGGAAGAAGGTGAATTATCTTTTCCTTTTAATTCTTGAGGGGGAGCAAAACAAGCCTCCCACTGCCCCCCCCCCAAACACACACACCTTAAACACTGGCGATCTGCAGTGTGTGTCTCTTTCTGTTTGAGCGTTTCCTTCGCAGTGGTCCATGCTTGTTCCGATCACACGTGGAAGGAATTTGCCGAGACGCCTCCTGGCGGCATTCGGCCCGTCGACGCCGGAGTAGGGCTCCCGCGCCGCGGCGTTCCAGGGACAATGGCGGCGACGCATAGCTGCACAGCTCCCTGCGTGAAGTTAATTACGGAGCCTCCCTGGCCGTCAGGCGCGGCGGGTGCGTGGTGAGGCGCCGGCTGGAGCTGCTCGCGTGCTGAGCCCTCGGTGACCTTGGAGAGCAGGGGGTGAGAGCGTCCCTTAAGCCCTTCGGGTGGTGGGCCTGGCAGGGGGACCCTCTGTTCCCTCAGCCCGCTGTATGTCCTGCCTACTTGGAGTGTAAGATGACAAACTTGCAACGTGGAACCTGAAAAGTATGGATCCCATTCCCTTAAACTGGGATTTAATAATAGAGGTGTAACCAAAACCTTGAACTTCAATCATAACTGCAGAAAACGCAGTGGTCATGAAAAGCAGTAACCCAGATGATGTAGGGCTTCCTGTATTGTGCGAAAACCGTATCGACGGCACTGTTCAGAAATGGGTTTAATTTGAGTCGGCGGAATTGCTCCAGTAAATCCCCATCTCTGTGATTGGCCACAGATGTGACCTCTACCTATGAGGTCTAAACTCTCCTTTGTAAGCCCCCGCCCCTGAAAGATGACACCTCCAAAACAGCATCTCTTCCCCATTTCTCTCTCATTTTCAGTAGTGGTATGCCCCCCCCCCCCCCCCAATTCTTAAATCTGCCACCTGACACCCATTGTACACCATGGAGTCTGGCTCTCAACCCCCGTAGTTGAACCCCTTGTGTAAATCAGCATGGCCGATGTCTACGTTGCGATGGCTTGGTCCTTTGTGTATCTTCTATCTGCTATTTTATTGCGTCATCTGAGAGAATGGGGACGTAACTAAACTACCTCATGTGAATTGTGCAGTCTTTGCATTAGTGTCCTGCCATTTCAATAATGTTTGTATTAATAAATACCATAGCTCTGGGAAACTGTTATTCATGTAAGGACTGGAGATTGTTACCTGGCCTATATTTATTTTGAATTTCATCCTTAATTTGAATGACTGGTATATCTGTGGTTAGTTTTTACACAATTTGCCAGAGATGCTGTGTATTGATTGTGGGATAATTGCTAAGGTAGTGTTATAGCGCCACCTACTTCTTTATGAAGGTAGGGCAGGCTGAGGATGAGGTTGCTTCTGAAGCAACATAACATGTCCATGTGACACCATTAGATGGTCACAGTGGTCCCATGGGTTTTCTGAATGATCCGGTTAGCTACTCTGTGTGGTGACAGTGTGTTGGGATTTTGGCCTTGTAGTTATGGTCTGACGCTTTGGTTGGAGAGCAGCTTCGCTGGCCGTCGTCATACCTGGCAGAGTTGGACTTGAAATGCGTCAACTGTGGCGTGTTCCCAAATGTCCTGAGTGCGGGTTTGGGGCTAATGAAGGCTGGGGAGCCGCTCACAGCCGTCAAAGCCAGACGGCCCTCGTTCATGCAATGCTGGAGGTTCCTTCAAGCGAGAATATGTTGTTAAAGATCTGAAAGGCTGTATCGATTTCTCCAGGATTTGATGGCTGCTTTGTATTTTCGGTTGGTTTATACTTGTTCCTTTTTGAATATTTGGAGTTTTAAGTCATTTTTATGAAGGGGAAAAAAAACCTCTTAAAAGCCAAGCAGTCTTGCCAGCTAACGTTAGGTTATATATTCTGTTCTGTGTCTCAAGGTTAGAGTAGCTTGTAGTTGATTGATAAGATGCCCGAAATCCAGCACTTTTGGTGGTATTCTTGTTGTGCTGTTTTGGTAAGAAATGCTTGCATGCAATCTCCTAGGCTGCTGTATGTTAACGCGCTAAGAAATCGGTGAAGGGTCAGCCT